ATATATATATGTAGTAGATTGGGAGCTAATGCGAAAGCCAGCAGGCTAAGCTGAGGTTCTCCTTCCATGCAGCAGCTCTGTTGTCCTCCATCATTTTCAGTTTCAGGCTGAGTCATTTTCCTCTCTGTCAGTGCGCTTTTAAAAAAGTCAGATATTGTCCAAAATTAACCTTCAAGCTGGACAGAGCTCACAGCGGAGCACCTAATAAGCTTCATCATTTACCCAGAATGCTTTGTGGTATAATTAATATGGTGACGTCTGTGTGACAAAATATTCTTTAAGTTTTTAAAACCTACACAGCCCACAGTATTTTTARTCTTCTTTATGGTTGAAGTAAATGTTTACTGAATAATGTGTAATGTTACAACTAGACAGGTTCACTTTAAAGTCGCCTTTAGACTTTTCAGCTGATTGCACCATTATTTCAAGCTAAAAATAGCTCATTTTAAAGTTTGCAGCTGACATCGACAGCAGCTGTGCAGACGACRCCAGCAGGAGGAGGAAGAGGAAAACTTTATTTAAAACTACGGTCAGATATAACAGAACGACTCAGTCTGAGACCCTGGTTTTCAGTATTTAAAAAAACAAAACAAAAACAAAGCAGAAGCAGTTTGTGAAACAAGTTGTGATCCAACAGCCTGTTGAGACACTTTTAGCAGCAACAGCTTGAAGTAAAGCTCGTCTGCGTGATCTTAGCAGGAACTTTATTTCCATTTTCTTCCATCTGCAGAACAAACGTCTCCAACTAACAGTTCCATCACGGGTCCGGTCCATCTCTCCTCCATATGCCGCGGCGTCAGGAGACACAATATGTCAGTGCGTCCACGGCGTTTTAATCACACCGACAGGAGGAAAACTAATTATTTAAAGCAAGTCAGGACTGTTTTAATCACCTGACACAGGACGGACAAACAGGTTTAAACTATGGTTGGAATAAAAATGTTTAAAAGCAAAAACAACCAAAACACTGACAAAATAAAGCAGGAGTGGTTAACCCTCTCAGCTTAAATTAAAATTTCAAAAGCTATTTTTCTTCATTTGAACATTTCACAATGTCAGGACTTTCCTTGACTGAAAACTTTTTTAAATAGCATTTATTTTAATAAAAATAAAAAACATTAATTGTTTGTAGCGGTGGGCA